TGTGTGTCTGTGTATCTGTGTGATTGCGTGAATGTGTGAATGTGTGTGTGTGTGTGAATGTGTGTGTGAATGTGTGTACGTGGGCGTGTATGTGTGTGTGCCCCCGCCGTGTGATCTGGCCCAGCCGCCCGCTTGCCTCCGCTCGACTGTCTACGCCGCGCCGCCGCGCGCGTGGCCGAAGCAGAATGTTTGTGTTTGTGTGTGTGTGTGGGTGTGTGTGTGTGTGTGTTCGCGCGTATGTTTGAATGCTGTGTTGATGTGGATTGGCCCAGCGGCTGTATGTGACATGTCGTTGATGTCTGATGTGCAATGTCCATCGCTCCTGCTCCGCACAAGATGTGCATCCTTTGGTTGGCTCCTCCTGCGTCCACCGCTGTCTGCCCGGGTTCTGCGACGGCCGCTGCACGGCATCTGAGATACGATGGTTTCTCATCTCGCGTTGGATTCATTCGGGATCGTTTGCCCGCAGAGCTCTGGCGGGAGACGTGTGTGTACGTGATCGTTTGATTGTTCATTGTTTTGCCGATCGGCGCGGGCCCTCGACCCCCCCTCCCCCCCTCCCATGGAGTAGATCTGAGCTGTTTTGGGCGCCTGTTTCGAGCAGGTGGGGTCCCTCCCCCAGCGGCCGCACTGTCGCAAACAGTCGCACTGAGCAGAGGTCCAGAGCCAGACTGTCAGACCCCGCCCCATCCCCCTCGTTCCGCCCAATGTCGAAACGCCGAACAAGAAAACGCTCACTTCGTGCGTGTGTGCGTGTGTGTGTGTGTGTGTGTGTGGCCGTGTGTGTGTGTGATTGGGTGTGGTTGTTATATTGTGAAGGCCTGACGGCCGGTGCCTCCGACCCTGAAAGACATCGACGGCGACGAGGACGGTGAGGAGGAGAAGAAGGAGGAGGAGGCGGAGATAAGGAGGAGGAGGAGGGGGAGGAGGAGGAGAAGGAGGCCGTGATAAGGAGGAGGAGGAGGCAGTGATGAGGAGGAGGAGCAGGAAGAGGAGGAGGAGGAGGAGGAGGAGGACCCCTCTGTCTATGTGTGTGTGCTTTGGTGCGACTGTCATATATTCGCGCTCCCCTTTGGGTGGCTGCTCCTCCTCCGCACCGGGGATTCTCGACAGGCCCTCTCTGCGCTGGGGGGGTAGAGCTTCCAGCCCGCCTTTCGTCCTAATGCCTGGGTGCATTTAGCCTCTGAGCGGCCCATCAGCGCTCTCGAGTGATGATGATCCGATGTTCGAACCGACTTTAGCCTAGATCACCAGAAATAATTTCGAGCACCGCAAAAGTACCGAAACTCGAGACACTTTTCGAGACACTGTTTCGACACTTTTCTTTGTGCTCGAAATTATTTCTGGGATGTGGTCCTTAAGTACGATGGGAGCATCATAACTCTGGCGACAATGAGGCCACTTCGTTGGCGGACGAACAACAGACTGTCCTCGCGACTCGTTCGTCGCTTTCACCTCGGCTGCTGATGTGGCGCGCGGGTCTTCGCACGTCACACGGCTGCCGCTCCTCGGCGCCTTTCCCCGTACACCCGTGCACGCGGAGTCTTCGGTGCCCGTCCTAGTGCGCCCTTGATCCTCCTCCCCTTCACCTCAGGTCGCATCTGTGCACCACCGCCTTACCTTCGCAGGCCTTGAGGTTGACACGAACACCAATATCGGCGGAGTGTCTCCACCGAGGGAAGAGTATCCCGATCTCGGTGATGGTGGTCATATTGCGAAGGCCTTACGGCCGATGCCGCCGACCCTGGAGGCGACCCTGTCGTCTGGGCGCGCCAGCCCTCGCGGATCGGACGGTGGCTGCGAGGCGTTGTCGGACGTCGGAGGCGTTGAAAGCGCGCTTGCCGCGCTCGGGAAAGTGTCCCTCCTCCGTTCTGTGATGGGGAGGAGGGGGAACAGGCGGAGGAGGAGGACGAGGTCGAAGAGGAGGGAATACCCGGTTGTTTTGTAACTTCCTAGTTTGTTTTGTAGCTTCCTAGGAGAGTTTTTGGGGCCCCTCGGGAGCCTCTTGGGGCCTCTGTGGGTTTCCTGGAGGGCCTCTTGGGAGCTTCTCGGGGCTGAGGGCTCGAAATGTCCGTTCGGGTCCCCCGTCTGGGCGCTCTCTTGGAACCGTTTTGGGGGCCTTTTTTGAATCTGGGAGGCGTGTTGGGCCGTCTTGGGGCACTTTTGGGCCGTTTGGAGACCCTCTCGGAGGCCTCTTGGGCCGTGTCGGAGCGATCTTAGGAGCCTCTTGGGCCGTCTTGGCGCGTGGGGAAGCGGAAGAGGCGAAAACGCCAAAAATCATTGAAAAACGTATGGGGGATCCATGATTTGTACCTCTTGGGGCTCTCGTGGGAACGGTCCTGGAGGCCTCTGGGGGCGTTTCGCAGGCCTCATGGGCCGTCTGGAGGCCGTCGGGCGTCTTGGACAGATCATTCGGCGATTCGGCGCCCTCTTGGATCGTCTTGGTGGCCTCTCTGGGCACTCTTGGCCCGTCTTGGGACTTTTTGGGGCTCCGGGATTCCCCGGGGGGGCGGCGTAAAAACCCGGGACCCCCCCCGGGACCCACCCCAGGGGGCGGCGCAAAAACCCGGGACCCACCCCGGGACCCCCCCCCCCCCCCGGCAGGAAAGGGATCAAAGGGAAGGGGCTTCCCTTCGACTCAATTGCGACGTTGTTCAATTTCGCCGAAGAGGGAACAGACGGAGAAGACTCTTCCGCACGCCGACAGGGTCGGCGGATTCTGACTTCCAATGTGACCGACATATTACCACCAACGCCGAAATCTACGATCAATTTCCCCCTGTTGAGGCAGTCCCCTGAGTTGATATTGGTGCCCATTTCCACGCATCCAATGCCTTGCCATGGCTGTCCTGGTGTGTTGACCCTCTTTTTCTCTGCCAGGGGGCCTCACCGATCATGCCAGAGTCCAGGATGGCCCTGGCCAGGCACAGTCTGCGTATCTTCGCGGCCATCGGGGCCCGTCTTAGGGCCATCATGGGGTCATTTGGAGACATTTTGGCGGCCATCTTGAGCCAGCTTGGACCATCTTGCGCATTCTGCGTATTCTCTATCCTGCGCCTCTGCTCCTGCGCGTCTTGTCTCACATCCTCTCGCGCCCACTTGTCCTAATATCCCTCACCAGTGACTTTGTGTCTACACGTGATAGCGCGCCAAACAGCGTTTCGATGTAATCTCATGCTCGGATCCTGGCAATCAATGACTCGCGCCCGGGTGATCGCGACGGAGCAGGAACAGACTGAGTGTGCATGTGTGAGTGTGTCCCATTCTGTGTGCGGGGCGGGGGTGGGCAGGAAAGGGGGCACACGGGATCGTGACGTGCAAGTTGTACGAGTGAATGTGGTGGGGCTCGCGCTGATGCTCAAACGCGGGTCGGCTGCCTTTTAACATGGACGGTCCAGGGGCCGATGTTGGTGGACTGTGGCGCAGCATGTGTGGGGCGGCTGGCCATGAATGTCACAATGCCTCTTCGACACTGGGAGGGATTGACCTCGATAATCTTTCCTTGACGACTAGAGGAACAACATCTATATCTAAACATATAAGTGTATGTGTATACATATATGTATATATACACATTTCTCCGCTTCTCGTGGGTTTCTTGGATTGGCGCGGTACTCCCTGCGCAGGTGCAGGACGCACAGGACCCCATTCAGATTTCAGACCATTTGGTCTGTACAACTTAGGCTCTCGAATTGCTTTCGGCCCATCCCGCCACCGTGCTTGGGTTTGGGGTCTGAGGCTTCGTGGACGTTCTGTGGGATGTCGCGGGAGGCCTCTCGGGCGCTCTTTTTCAAGGGCAGAAAAAACGCCCCTACCCTGGTTTACGAGGCGCTGTGCGCTGAAACTCCTGTTGGCTGACAGGGTAAACCCTGCGTGATGTGCCGCGTCCTGGCGGCTCTAGGCTTTGGGGGGTCCCAGGAGGTTTACAGACCACGCACTTGTAATCCAGGGTAGGGTCGTTTTTTCATCCCTCAATTTTTGGGGCCTTTTGGAGCCGACGGCCAGGCCCACGGCTCGTCCAGCGGACGAGCCGACTCCCAGTTCGGCGGTGACACAAATTGCCAGTCCGTCTTCAACGCCGTTTGCCAGTCCGACGACAGCGTTGACTGCCGGACGGACCGCGACACCGTTTGCCAGCGGGAGACCGTGCCGATATTTTGTCCGAGGGCTACACCTACGGTCAGGCCGACAGTATCGCCGAGTGCCAGCCCAACGGCAACCGCGACTGGCAGTTCAACGGCGCTGCCGACTGCCAGTCAATCCGCGGCGCCGTTCCAAAGGCAACGCGGGTTAGCGCCGACTGCGAGGCCGACGGCGACGCCGATTGCCAGCCCGACCGTAGAACTGACTGCCAGCATGGCGACAACGCCCTTGCCAGTCCTATTGCAGCGCCTATGGCCAGTCTTAAGGCACCGCCGAGCGCGAGTCCACTGGCAACGCCGATTGCCAGCTCGACTGCGACGCCAGCGGTCAGTTCGAAAGCGACACCGACTGCCAGCAGGACGGCAATGCCGACTGCCAGCTCGATAATTGCGCCTACGGCCAGACCGACGGCGTCGCCGACTGCCAGTTCGACGGCAACGCCGGCCGCCAGTTCAGCGGCATTGTCGACGGCGCCGACTGCTTGTCCGAGGGCGACGCTTGCGGTCAGTCCGACGGCATCGCCGACGTCAGCCCACTTGCAATGCCTGCTGTCAGCGCGGAGGCATCGCCGACTGCCGGTCAAATGGCGAGCCCGGCTGCCTGTCCGACCGCGACACCGTCGACCAGCAGGTCGGCAGCGCCGGCTGCTAGTCCGAAGACATCGCCAACTGCCAGTCCGACGGCATGCCTACGGCCAGTCCGACGGCAAGTCCGATGGCACAGTCGACTGCCAGCTTCACGGGACCGCCGACTGCCAGTCGGACCGCGACACGGGTTGCTTGCAGGACGGCGACGCCATTTGCCAGTCAGACGGCATCGCCGACTGCCGGTCTGCAGGTTTCGCTGACTGCCAGTCC